TTTTCACTAAACCGCAACAAGCTCAATTACTCTTTTTATATCGCTGCTGAAACATTACTTGACATTCTAACAACTTCTTCCACAAGAGGTATGATCCAACCTACACCAAAGCAAAAAAAATCCCCTCTTTTGTTACGTATGAACATGAACTTAGAGAATTCCTATATAAATTGAAGATCTTAATGAGGTTAATCATCAAACGAACCTTTTGCCAACCGGACGAAAATGAATGTTACTGGAAACAAACATTAAGAATGTTGAGATAGATTGAATATCTGCACGTGACTACGAAGATAGAACTTTTTGGATCAGATAAGGAAGGCGGGGCAAACAAAGTAGGACTGGTTTGGTTCATGCAGTGAGGGTAAAAAAACGTTGGATATGAAAAAACTCGAAAAAGTGCTTCAGACCCGTTCGTTACCTACAGGTTCATGCATAAGAGCAAGTTCAAAGGCAAAAACAAGACAAGAAAATCACTAACTTGAGCTCTCTTTCAGGAGTAACGGATACCGACGTCTTCATCTCAAGTGGCGCATCTTCGGCAGGTGGAAGTGGGCTCTGAAAGTGGATAAATAAGATATAAGCATAACATTGTAGTAGAAAAACTGTACCTGTGCTGCAGGAGTGCCTCCAATGATCGGCAAATGAGTTATCGTGGTGACTCCATTCGCTCCCCCACCGGACGATTCACTGCTCTCATCTTCGTCTTCTTTGATGACTGGCTCTGTTGGAGCGTGCGAAATTTGCGATCCAGACTTCTGAACAAGTAATCGATCAAAAAAATTGTCACCTACACGATCAATGGATGAAACATACTTGCAAAGGAATCGGAATCTGAGCTATTGCAGCCGGTGTCTTCAACTGAGTGGGAGCATTGGAACCGATAGTCGAATTGTTCGTGTTCACAGGTAATTTTCCTACAAGAGAAGCAGACGCTGGCATCTGATAGGTAGCAGAAATGCCGGTTGTAGTAGGATGCGGTGCGCGAGCTGATGAGGACCCACTGAAATCATAACAGCTTATTCAGAAGGAGAGCAACCAATTTGAAAAACGCACTCTGCTCGCTGTCCAGCTGCCCGAACGCCTAGATTAATCGGTACACGGCCTTTTGGATCACTTGATTTTCGTGTTCCCGAGGTAACTGTCGATGAAGTGCCTCCGCGCGTAAACGAAGCTAGGTAGTCTCTATGACCTTCGGCAGCCGCTGTAAGGTAGAGCATAACAAGGAGCGCAGAAACGCTGGAAAACATAAAAAAGGAAGTCTTACCAGCTTGATATGAACCAGGAACCATACTCATAGCTGCATGTCTCGAGGTCGGCTGCTGTCGTAGCTGCACCTGAACATGAGGAAGTCGAAAAACAGCAATTATGAAAACTTCCCGGCTTGCTAAACCATCATGATACATACCTGAGCCCTAGTAGATGATGAAGCCTGTGCAGGCTGTTGTGCACCTGTAGCTGTTGTGTCATTCTGGCTACTTCGTCTTGAAGGCTGTTTTGGAAGAGGTGCATTAGTGTTCACTGCAGAAGGACCTGCTGCTGCGGTAGAGGTTTGCGCAGATGATGTGCGCGAATACTTGGAAGGCTAAAACAGGAAAAATAGAAAAGGTGCCACCTTGAAACCGTAAAACTAAACCAAGGCTTTTATTGTCACAAGAAAGTTTTTGCTGGACTTTTGAAAGAGGCGCTGTACGGTAATTGAATGGAAGATACGGCTATGAAGTACAAGAATGCATCTGAGACAATTTTTCCTAAAATGCTTTTTTCTCACTTTTTGAATTAATTCTCAATGTCTGAGAATGAGGAACGATGCTATCCAAGAGTTAATAGAATAAGCTGTTATAATCTTAAAACATCCTATGATTTAATCCCACAGAAAAATCTAATGGTATTTGAAGCTGTTGCGAAATTAAGTGATTGATTTTTTTCTAAAAATCTCGACTAGACATCTGTCGAGAC